TATATGATACGAATACAGTGAGGGAACTGGAACCTGTAGCTAACGATTTCATTAACAGTATTGCATACATGCAAGAGCCTCCCGGCTGGTATATGTTACTACGAAACGTGCGAGAGTTATTTCCTCGTGATCCTAGAGAACGCTAAGCATGAAATCGCCAATTTACGCAGGAGTTAAAGACGCGTAAATTTGCGATTTCATGCTGTGGCAAGACTGATTTTCATGCTTCAGTGTTCTATCACGTTTGAATATATCGAAATAAAGTATATATATGTTTATATATATAATATACATAAAACATATCTGGCAGAGAGACTCGTAGTTTTAGGGGAGAAGCTAAGAATGCGTTAGAATTTTGGAGGAACAAAGGATCTCGCCTTTTTGTGTTTAACCCTTTTACTCCCATGAGTGACCAAGACTGAATTTCTCCTTACAATATCAGTACAATATCAAGCAGATAAGTGATGAGAATAAAGAAAAATATTGTGTTATATGGCAATGTATACAAAAGCGTGACGAGTAGTTCTTCATGGCAGGCAAAACCAGACATTAACTCACTCTGTTACGCGCGCCAGACTCGCGGGTCAAATATTACACTAACTTATTAGTGAAACCGGAAATAAAAATGGAGAGCGAGCTGTAAACTTGCAAATAATTACCAAGCACCGCCTCAAAATGAAAAAAAATTTACTTATCCGTAGCTGTGTCATTTATTGCTTATTCTTTTAAAAGGTGTGGACAACACAATAATCCTAGATCTGTTGATGAAAATAACTATGGAAACGTTTTTTCTTTTCGCTTTAGGCCTAAACGTCGCTTTCCTTGGTTCTGTCCGAAAACATCTTAGCTTCTCAAACGAAAACATATTTGTGCGTGTGTGTGTGTAATATCCGTTAAGTTATTCATCGATAAAAATGATTAGAAAGATGCCAGATTTTTATATTTTTGAGCAGTTGTAACTCTTTTGAACTGATTCCGTTCTCCTATAGTCCATGCGTGATCATACTGTGACGGAGTGAACTCACCCTCTCCCTCCCCTCCTCATGTTTGCCTTGCACCTAAAGAAGCAAGTCTTGGAAAAAGATGTTATCCGAGCGAGAGACAAAGAAAACTTCTGAATTTTTGTTTATCGATCATTCAACCTTTCGATTTCCCGCTTGGATGCTCAACCACTGATTTACAAAGAACCCAGAGGAGAGCTAAGCCATTAAAAGGTACAGCATGTGTATAAAACAAGAACTATCGCCCTTGCCGGCTCGCTTCTCTTGTTCCGCTTATGAACGAAAAGAAAGAATTTCGACCCAAACAAATATCATCATCAATCATCATAAACATCGTAATTGTTAATCAACTCCACTAATCCTATAAAGCATCAAGCTTGAAGGTTACTGACCGTGTATTTAATAAGTAAAAACTAAGTTAGCGGAAGATATAAAAATGAAACTAATTTTCCGAGTCTAATAAGAGACGCAGAGAATACTTTTAAAATGATCGCAGACTTGGCTTTTTTCTTCCCCATTCAAGGCGTAATGACTTCACATATTTTAAATTTTCAAAGATTTATTTAAGCTGGCCCAATTTGCTAATTTGCATGTTATAACATGCAAATTAATCCTCCACACAAGCAGAAAAACAAATACTTAAAAAAAGAGCTATCATGTTGAGTGATTCTCGGTTTTTGTCATAAGCAATGTCAAGGACCCAATTAAATCCTGTCTGTGTTGATTGACGACCCAAGGGAGCATTAACGCAGCATAAGTGAAGTAATAATCACTATAAGAGTTGTTGGAACTTTTACGATACGTTAATTCGACTTAATTTGATTGACACTTGTGAGTGATTTAGTTTGTCTGCTACATAGCATTTATCTGTCACGTTTTATTTATTTTTTTTAAAGCCCATATATGGCCTTGTTCCATGTGCCTGCTGCCCCACGTTTTTAGTGTCTTTTTCAAATAAGCTAAGAGCTGTGAGTGGGAGTTAACCGAAGCGTTGTAATAGAATCATAAAATCAATTGAATAAACTGTAACTTGATTTGGAAGCGTGGTACAGCTTTTTCAGGTTTTCGACAGAATGATGTGTAGCCGGAGTTACGCCTCAGAAGACTAATTTCTGAAACGTTTTACATGTAATATTTCCTTGTTATTGGGGAGTTGACGAAAGATTAGAACGGCACATTATCTATGCAAGATCTTGTGAGCATTTGAATTCTTAATGAAAATGTTTACGGTAACATCAATACAATACCTGCCGAGCAAAGGTATTGTCGAGACACTCTTTTCACACTCGCGCGTGTTTTTTTTTTTTTTTTTTCCTTTCTTTTTGTCTCTTTTTCTATAAAATGAAGAACTATGACATATTCCGTGGCGGTCTCTTTAAGTTTTTTATATATATCGTAACTGATACGGTCGGAAAAGTAGAGGTCTTTTAGTGAGAAGTGATTCTATTCTGACCGTCACGTGATCGTTCGAAAATTTGTTGCGGGTGATTAATTTCTGCCGAGTTTTGAAACCTATCAAAAGAACGGAACAATTAAACTCTCGATTATTCTAAAGACTGTCACTGATTGTGTGTGTAAAGCAGAGAATAAACATCACGATTGTTGTAGAGCATTCAACGTACCAACTTTTAGGGATGTTTCAATTACATATTGGAACCAAAAATTGACAGTTTAACTGAATGTTCGGTAAATATCGAAGAAGCTAATTATGTCTCATTTCCGTGGGTTTTTTTTGTGTGAAGTATGTTCAGTCATATGATCTCTTAGATGTCAAAACAGTATATGTCTTTTCGTGTTTTAACATCCTGAATGAAATAACTGAAGTACTCTTAAGATTAGACCTCATCGCGTGTAAAAGGAACTCATGATAAAACCTGAGCGGTTAAGAAATTATTCGACTGAAAACAAAATAAAAATATTGCTTGGTAAGCTTTTGTCAAGCGGTTGTGACCTTGGCTTACTTCAGAGCATAAGAATTTAAAATGTAAATAAAAAATAACGACTCGTCTCGCTAAATCTGAGAAGGTGAAGAAATAGAACGGTGGATCTCGCCTGGCGGGAAGTCACAAGTTCAAGATAATTTCCATATCAGCCCGATGGCTGTGTTTACTAATGGCTTCGTCATTGTTATCTAATATTGCGCTGCTAACTGGATATCATAACTCAGGAAATTTAGCAAAAATTAGGAACCAGCCACGGCATTGTGTTAAATGTGAAAACTGAACCGCTTAAAATAGTGAATCATCATTTAGCCAACATTTCTGATTGATAACGCTCAGAAACCATAGATTTCCATGCTCAGTAAATGTAAATGCGACGTTTTCGTCTACGTATAGGCGGTAACATTCAGCCTGAAATTATCGATAACCATAAAACGTCATTGTACCAAACTACCCCGAAACATACAGGAAAAAACAACAAACAAAAAATTGTGTACATGAATACCTTCTAAACAGCCTCCTCTTGCAATCTCAGGATTGAATACCGAATGTTTAAAGTTACAGAAGTCTTTTCGACGCCTGATCTGGCCACGCGGTAGGAAGGAAATGCTATCAGCTTAGATCAAGCTATAATAGGGAATTTCGACGGTCACGTGGTTGATCTCAAGTGCTTTCGGCATTGAGCAATTCCCAGTTGTCAAGTAAGCGGTTTCCCGAATTCCCAGTGTACTTTGGACATAAGAATCCATTCTTTGGCAAATTTTCAGATTTTGGAGGCATTTTATCTTCTGTTCGAAATGTTGCACTAAAATACTAACACAAAAAATCTAAAAATTAGCGCTGGTGTCGAAATAATGTTGATAAAAACGGTCTGTATCACTGGCATCGTCCATCTAGGAATTGAACAATCAATTAAAGTCGAACTTATATGAAGCGGTCGGTTGTCGATAGTCTGTTGTCGGATGTCGGCTGTCAATGTACCGACATTTTTTCCCTTATTAAAAAGGAATTCAAACCGCAACCAAGTGGTCAGCATTGACTGAATTCCAATGTTTTTTTTTTTTTTTTTTGTCTCCCACCTGTATTGGAAGGTCAGCTAAAGCAGAACCATTCAAATAAAACTAAGAATAATCCCTCAAGTCAAATTTATTCCATATTTATCTCCTGAAATCAATGTCAGTTCTTTGAGTTCAAATGACCTGTGGTATTGCAGATTATTTTCTTTCTTAAGACTGTTAGGACGAAAAGCGTCTGTTAACGCGTTTGACTCCTTTATTTAGCAGTCAACGTGCATTAAGCGGTCACCCCGCCATTCCCCGTGGGTGACCACTTACAGGTTCGACTGTACTTAAGTTCCTCAAGGAAGCAAGTTTTTACTTTTCCTATATTTAAGTAGTTGTTTATTAGTTAGAGAAAGAGAAGTTCCTGTTTCAGCTCCAGAGGAACTCTAAAGGGAAACTAATTCACTTCATCACAGCATGATATTGATATCCATCAATCATCTATACTTAAGGGGTGAGGCAAATTGTTTCGGACTAGGTTATATTCATCGGCTATCTCCTTCATGTTTTTTCAAATGGTAAACCGATAGATGAGAATTATGATTGTTGAGATCATTTCGGGGCCCAAGACGAACCCGTCAAGAGAAATCATGAAAGCTTTAACCCCTCAACAAACGACTTGGAGGAAAAACTAAAAATATCAAGATCGATGTTTTCTTTCAAAATCTTGAGTTTCCTTTTATCATCATTAATGCTGAGTCAGCAAAGATAGTGGACATAATCCTTCCACTATGTCTAAAAGGGGGAAATCAATCGACGGCAAACATAAACCAGCGTTTGTTGTTGAAACGCATTAGTGCAGGACGTGCGAATGCCACATCCTGTAACTTGAGCTTGTTAACCGTCTTCGGTCAACTTTATAAATAGGAGCGAAAATCCCTTCCATAAATGAAAGCAGTTGTTTCCTTGTTGAATACCTGAAATCTAGACAGGTTTTCCGTCTAGTAAATGCCTAAATGCAGCTCCGAAAGAGCATGATTCAAATTAATGAGATGTCAACAAGTTCTTTGTTCTAAACGCTCTATGTATATCTTATCGACCTAAACCTGTACTCAAACCCATGGAAAATTCAACGGCGGCCGCTGCTCCAAACAATGGCCTTATTCGAAATAAGCAAATATTCTACAAAGTCGCTGTAGCATCAAGGATTGGCGGCAGATGATTTTCTCCTGAACAGGTAACTCTAATCACAAAAACAAAGTTATATAACATCATAAAATTAGACTATACAACAAACAAATGAAACTCTAGCCACCTTAAATTTCTTAGTTCTTTTCTTTTCGTTAAAAGGTTTGACAAAACATGCACCCATTTCAGTCTCAATTTAAAAAAAGAGGAGGGGTCACCCCTCTTCATTTGAGAGGAAAAGCGCCCTGACAACGAGGTTGGCCTCGACACTGTCATCTCCAAACGTTGCTCTAGCAACAAACCTAAACCAAGAAAGCGCCCCATTCTTTGGGCCTTAGTTTCACTATCGGCTACCTGAGCGCAAGTACACACGTGCGTGCGTGCTTTAATATTTCTCATTATTTATAACATTGCTGGAGGAAAAACAATAAAACGTAAAATGAGAAATTTAGCTCTACTAGTAAAAGGGCTATTATCTCAAGTCATTAACTCTTCTTGTTTTTCTAAACTAATTATTTCAAACAATTCAATAAAACAACAATAGCAGACAGTAGATTCTTGTGGTAGAGGCGGCTAAGTAGGATGGATTTGAAAACCTGCACATGCCCTAAGAAAAATCTTAGTTCCGTTTATCAGGAGATAACTCGCATCGTCATAGTAGGCAAACAAAACTTTCACGTCTACAAGATCTACAATGTACCACGAGAAGGAAATAAAATCCTCTTCAGTTTCTGGGCTGCATCTTCGCGTCCTATATCCATGAGGGTCTGGTACAACTTCAGAACTGTAGCATCTCCACGATGGGACCAATCCTGAAGCAGCATTTGGGTGCTGTTCATTGGACACAATTTGAAATTTGTTACATGGTTGAGGGTGTAGCCAAGCTTACCTGCCAGAATTTTCCAACTTTTAAATGAAGAAGGATTTAGTAAAAAACCAAGTTCTTCAAAAACGTCTGCGCTGACGTCTCTCAACAGGATTTCTTCAGACCCTGAGTAGAAAAGCGGAACATTTCAGTCACGTGATGAAAAGTTCTGTATGCGTGAAAACGATTTGTGTGACATTTATGAATAATTGAATATACTTTGAATATGTCTCAATGTTTGGGATCATTTTGTGTGACGAGCAAAATTACCTCAACTCGAGGACTTTGAAATATTTGTTTTGTAAAGTAGAAAAATAAAAAAGGAGCACATAAGAACAAAGGCAAAACAACAAAGATTAAGGATGGACAAGATTAAAACAGATAGCAACTGATGACAAGTTTAACCAAGAGAATGCATGAGTATAGCACTATTCGAAATTTTTTATCTCAGTCTAGTGGCGCTGTGAAGCAGCTCACTAAAGTTGCTCATATGTTGATTGAAAAAAGATCAGTATTCAGAGTACTGACTCTTTGTTTACACTCCTAACTTTATAGCTATAGTGGGGTGCTATACATGTATAGACATCCACTTTAGGGAGTCAAATTTCTGAAAACACGATTGAAGGTCCCGTCTACTTTTCACGTGAAGCGTGGTTGGGCGTTTTTTTTTACTCGTGAATCGTGACTTTATTTCTTTATGTGCGAATCGTGATTAGAGACGATAAGATCTTTTCATGTCCACGTGAGCGAATTTTTATATTCAAACGTGACCCGTAAATTTAAAGCTGAATTAAGTTGCTTCGCTTACTAGTTGTTTTGCGTGATGAATATCCAGCTATTTATGTCTAGAAAATGTACATTGTTCTCGAACGGCTGTGGTTTGGTTTTCAGACTATGGTTTTGACAAGAGATGGACTTCAGATGCATCAATAAAAGTCATAAAACAGATCCCTAATAAGGGAATAACATGACTTTTTTCGGGAATATTGTTTATTTGCGCCCGCGTAGTGTCATTTGCGGGCCCGAGCGCGAACGCGGGCGCAAATAAACAATATTCCCGAAAAAGTCATGTCATTATCATTATTATCAATAAACAAGGCCAAATGATATCAAGAATGCGAGTTTTAATAATACAAGCTAAGTGAATGACGAATTCAAAGTCACTTCAAATCATCATGTAAGTGTTGATTGAACAAGCTATTAAAGAATCAACTCAGTCCAGTGAACTTATTGAAAATTACCGAAAAAATGCTTAAAATCGTCTATAAATAATAGGCATATCACAAAGTTAACCTTAAAAATGTCCATGCTGGTAACAGAATCATCACAAAGTTAACGGAAACTCAGTTCTAATCACTGTCACTTTCGATAATTATCCGACGGCGCTTTCCGATTTAACTTCAGCGTAGAATTTCCGCAGTAATTCATTTAGCTCAACCGGTGTTACACAATTGAAGTCAACTTTCAGCTTTTGTTTGTCGCACCATTTCTCGAGTTTTTTGATCCCTCACGAAGTGGCTCTCTTTGTATTTCCGCCTGACCTTTTGCTTCTAATTTGTCCAAATCTTCTAGCCCCAAATCTGAGTTTTGACTGCTAATTTCTTCCATTACTTCAGTTTTCGCTCGAAGACGATTCGACGACTGAAAAAACTGCAGTTCAAAACCGGAGTTTCGCAAATGAATGGTAAATAAAAAGCAAGAACCAATCAGCTGTAGAGCTGATAATGCATTAGCGTTATAAGCGTGTGTTTTGAAGAGGCCGATTTTCTATTTGGCCGCGTATATTGATAATAATGGTTCTTTAACAAATAAGATAAGACGTTACGTCATCTTTCGTCGTGAAAGATTGGTCGCGACAAGATAAAAGTAAAATATTAGTTCAGTGTGATCGTCTTGAATTTTGTGTGACGTGAAATAGTTTTAGATATTATTCGTGATGCGTGACAAGGCCAAATATTTTTACGTGAGTGGGTTTTACAAAAGGGTATTGGGAACCCTCACCACTATCATTTCCAAATAAAACTTGCATTCTCCACATTTTTCATGTATCCCTGAAAAACACTACAAAATTTGCGACCCTGGACGGTCTAAGGTACTCACAGGATCGCAGCCAAAGAGAAAGTGTCTGGTGGACAAAAGAGACATTGTCTTAACATCGTCGTGACTCTGAATCAAAACAATATCTTGTCACGCATCAGTTCAATTTTTAAAATAAAAACACAGGCAGCCATTATTGAATTTTTATCACATATCAGATTTATAATTCAAACTCACCACTTGAAGCAAGAGCTGTGGGATCATTTTTGTCGCCAGCTACATTCGCGGTTGGCTCGGCAGCGTCGGGAACATCTTCCATGTTATCATCAACTTGAAACTTAATGGAACCACTCGCGCCACAATCAAAGCTGCGCCTGCTCTTGAACTCCTTTAGTTTCTCCACTAAATCGTAGCGACCTATTTGCGTAAGAAGATCCTCCAACAAATTCAGATTGTCTTTTCTTATCTCTTGTTTTATCTCTAGGCATTTAAACAAATTCGTGGCGGTGTTTATCTCCTCCAATTCTCTTGTTGTTAATCGATCGAGGCATAAATACTTCAACTTTTGTAGGTTTCCTTCCGTTATTTCTTCACACAAGGAGAAAAGAAATTTTCTGTACTCTGAAACTGAGCTACCTTCCATTTAGGCAGCGAGATCTCAGCTCCCATCTGCTTACATAATGTTTTCAATTTTTCGCTGAATTGCTACACACTTCAGTTCCATCAAGCACATGTCTATGTTGTCAGGGGTTTCCCCTATCCCAAAATGCATTCGGCCGATGTGTGATGGGCTGTATACGTTTTTATACACAAAGCCAACCGATTCTCTCTAATGCTTGGGGCCCGATCTTCTCCGTTTTTCTGAGAGACGTGCTCGATCCTTCCGAGATGAATGGTAGGAGCACGGGCTCATTTAACAAACAGCGGTTGATAACCAGGTCCTAGTATTTGCTTGAAAAAAATTAAACAGGAAAATGCAAAATAAAATTCTAAAGCTTATCATGCTCCAGATCAAGCGAATAATTACAACAAAAGAAGCAAACAATAGATGAACTAAATGTGAAATGGCTCCCTGAAGAAGAATTCAAAGGTGACCAACCCTCCGGAGTTGCTATTGTTAATTACACATACAAAGCAAACCTTGCCTATTTGAAGTTAAAATTCGAAGACGCAACAAAATATCACATCTTTGTATAACTTATTCCGGGAAAAATATTTATTCCAAAGTGATGAAAAGTAGGTCAAGTAAGCAATCATTGATAGAGCACCTAATCACAGAAGAGGACGTAGTTCGCTTTTACAATGAATAGTCGAATATTAGATTTGTACCAAATTTGCTGCTCTCTTATTTTCAAATGTCCCTTTTTTTAATTTATGCTGTTCACTTCAGTAATGTCTAAAGTCGCTCACGAACCAGTGACGCTCAGGAACTGTAATATCATGGAAGACTACCCCAGACGTTGCGTGACATCCTCTGTTCTTTAGCCAATAACGTGGCAACACACTAATGAACTCGTGCTTCGGCAGGGACTGAGTATGATGCAGCCAAGTCGACTCTGATTGCCACTTAAATCAAAATCTCGATGAATTGATTTTCAAAATTGTAATTAATTTTGACCCCTACTGATTTGTTTTTCTCCCACCTACCCACTTGCTTTAAACTTTCATAAACAACTTTTCACTAAATACTGCGTCATCGAATGGCCTAGATGACCAAAGGCGGCTTGCATGCTGTGATCTGTGATCTGTCTGTTATTTGATCTCCACTCTTGACGTTTGGTTTTCATCGACAGAAACTTCTGCCAGCAGGCTTCAAAAAGTAAGGCGGTCTGCCAGAAACAATTGATTAACTGAAATAGCCTCTGAAGAAAAAGTGTAAGAAACACTTCACTGAAGAGGTTTAAAACCTGAATTTTGAGGCAAGACGATCATTCTAGCGACATTTTCTGCACCATCTGTTTACCGTTTACATTCTGCAATTTACGATCAAGTCAGCTGTCTTAGAGGTAAGCATTCCTTACAAAATCATATGCTGGATTGTTTTAGATATATTGTCAATTAATGACGCGAGGAATCATTCCTTAGCGTAGAAATTGGTCACATTAGTTCCTACTGCGTAAACAATCAACCAACAGATCTTCAAGCGGAAATCATGCGAGCGAATAGTAAGCCTGACAAATCGACGTTAAACGCGCGCTTCACAGCAGTCTCTGTACGATACTCGTCGAACGAGAGGGTGCTTTGAGTCTTTGTTCTGCGATTTTAACGTTCATTTTCAATTAACAGTATACTTGGGGTTCTGTGAATATTGCAAACCGTCTCTAAGTGGAACTATAAAATTAACAGATGCATCGGCATTCCAGAATAGTTCATCTGTTTATCGTTCCTTGAGCATTCCAAGCCTTCTTTCCCATTAATTTGATCTCAACAGAAACCTGAATCCATCGTAAATCGGCCACAGTACACCTCTGAAATAGCTGGGTAGTTTTGATAAATTGTCTCCTCTTTCCACCCAGTGTTTAATTTTGTTTTATTTTTCAGATCAAGTACGTGGGTTTAATTCTTCCGTTACGCTCGAGTAACCAAACGGCAGACTGCTATCGAATAGCTTACAGACCTTTTTATTCAAGTTCACGAGAAGATGAGCTCGAAAGAAAAGAAGGACAAGACTCAGAAAGGTGAGCCGACTGTTAATTCTCTTCTCTAGCTGCTACACATTTCGCTGTAAATTAGTTAGGAGGATTTGGCGTCAGACCAAGATAACAACTTCTCTCTGATAAGTTTGGGTATTCTTATCACTCATTTACTGGATAACGTATGGATAATATAGGAAGAAATTACAGGTTTATCACTTCTGGGAGTTCAAGGGTTAATTAATGATGTAAGTTTACTTAAGATGACAGTTGATCGAGTTTTGTTGGTATAATGGTGATGCGTACAAACTTTCTACGAGTATTTCGAATCGAGCGAAACACGCAAAAGCGTGAAAGAACCTTGGCTCTTGGACACCTCTGGAAACAGGATGACCAAGAAGTATTTTCTCTCTACATTATCCATGATCATTATTTAGCAGACTGATGATGAGATTAAAAGAAAAATATCAACGCCAAACTCACACAATTGGTATTGTAAGATATGTAAGGTAGACAGTTATGTATAATTAGAGAATCACTACTTACTAAGATCGTGTGAGTTAAACAGGAGAAACTTTCAAAGCCTGGCCATTTGCTCTCTTCAGAGTTTTGAGGACAATTAATATTAAAAAATATTAGTAGTCGGCTGGACATCTCGTTCACAAAATTGTAGGTGGACTTTGGCCAGGTACAAAGGTGCCGTGCTGCATGAGTCTCCTCAACAAAACGTTTCATTTTCTTTTCTTTACCTTGTTGACTCACACATGACTATAACTTTTTGAAACAGCACGGCTTTTAGCTATTTATTTTAACACTGATTCACGATCGATGTCTTCAAAAGTTAGAATATAGTGCAACTGGCTCAGTTTACTACAATGCTTCAAACTGGGAAAAATATATTTTTTAAGCAAAGGCAAACGCAAGGTTTCGTGTAGAAGTTTTATTACAACATCTGGATTACAATACGCCACTCACTGATGTCAACACGATGTACAGTACGAATTAATACTTTGAACAGATCAGAAATAAATTATCTTGCAGCTATCGCCTTTGTTTCGAATCAAGTTAGTTAATTATTTATGGTGCGAGCTTCTAAATCTTGTCAGCTAGTGCCGATCACAGCATGAAATTATAAATTTAAGAATCCATAAAAATGCCGTAAAGTAAGCGTTGAGATCCTCTTTACGCGTCTTTACGAACTTCTTTACACTTTCATAAAGAATGTCTTTACGCATTGAAAACTATAGTGCGTAAAGATCACGGAGAGAGACTATAAAGGCTATTTTTACGTGCCCTGTAAAAAGTCGTTTAGAGAATGTTTACGATATTATACGGCGATTGTAAAGCGATCAGAAAGGCGATCTTTACGCGTCATTACACTATCGTAAATGGAAAGTATTTACATGCCCATTTGCCATTTTGCAGTTGTCTGAATTTTTTGGCAACATTCCCTTTTTGTTAATCAGACTGTAACAAATGTGAGTTCATGACAACGTCAAAGTAATGCACTATCTTAGCGCGTATCAACAAAAGTCGTATCGAGAACATTTGCAATATGTATTTAACGCTTCCGTCAAACAATGCTGCACATTCCCTTTCAAGGAGTGACCCATAACAACACGTGCTTTAATGCATCGCAATTTGTTTCACTGTCATAACTCTAACTTAATTATTTAATTTTCACAGTAACGTTGCTAGAGGTTCAAACGATCTTCAGGTGAAAAAACTGGTATTGAATTAAATCCTTTAACATTTACTTGTCGATTCTACATGTGGCATGGTTGGCTACTTAGCATCTCATCATTGATTGTAAATCAGTTTGAATTTATACTTATACTTAGAAACAATAACAACAGGGCTTTTTGCATTTCATTTCAAAAATCGCACCTTTTTCTAGAGCTTTTTTTATTTATCAATCCCTTTGATTTTTGATTATTGACAGGTATCAATAAATTTAGAATTTTACATGTACATGCATAACATACTATAGATTTATATCTACGTGTAATGCATTATGTAAATAGAGGAAGTTTTCACCAAGCACTCTTATCCTTCATACCATCACTTGATCCATTCACTTTAAAATAATCAGTGTGACTCCTTGTTCATGTTAAAGTGACTACCACAACCAATTTTATGTTCTATAAAAAATCTTTGCCTTCATTCGTGATTTTGTTCACTTATCCATATCCTGTAATATCAATAAGTGATCAGTGACTGATCCATGGTAAAACTATTGTGGCCTATTTCATGATTTTTTTTTTTTAATTTAAATTTTATCAATTACTCATTGATTTCGAAACGAAACTAGTTTACATCATTAATTGCTTTCCAGCTAGTACCCCGACAAAAACCTCTGTCACGTTTATATGTAGCCCTCCCCCTTCTCCTATTGGATTTAACAACTGGGACTACCATTGATATTGCGTGGAAGAGATGGGGTTGGTGGGGGGCAACCCCCGAGGCGCCCCGGGGCACCCATCACTTCACAACCGTAAACAGCAATGGTTTCAGTTGAATGTTATTTTTTTTTATTGATTGTTTTAAAACCTTAATACGCGCATATTGCACGATAGCCAACTTCATAACCTGAGGAAACGCTAATACCTCATTCTAGAAAATTTTTGCCTTTTCATAGGCATGCAAAAATGCCCATTTCAATTCAGATAAATTTGTTACATTTACAGAGTTAGTTTACATCTTCTTTTATTGCAATAAAATGCGTGCTTAGACAACGTGGATTTCATTCGTTATTGGTCATAACGTCTGCTCCTAAGATGATGTGAGGTGTGTTTAAAATGTAATTACACTTGCTAAAGATAAAAAGCCTTTCTATAGCAAACTTATGGCAGCTATTTCACTTGCAGATGAAGCATTGCTCTTGACAGAGGATGAGATTTTTTAATTCAGTAGAACTTCAACAGTACTGATATGTGTAACTAGGAGTGGGTCAGCAGAGACTGCTGAGTAAAGTTTCATCTCCGGAAAAATACAGACGAATACTAGAACCATTGATAGTCGGATCTTAAAGTTCGACGAGCTTGCTATTACAAACAATACAGCATCACGCTTTCACACGTCATTGCCGGGTCCATTTTATGGAAAAAAAACAACGATTTTCTCTCGTCACGACAACTCCCTGATCATGAGTTTCAAGGCGCGTTAAAAAAAATGTAGTTTTAATATATTCATGCGAACAGAAAGTTTAGAAACGGTGTAAAAGACAGAATACAGAGGCGGAAAGAGGATTAAAAGCACGTTAAGACTGATTGTGCGTAAAGAAAGTTAAGGGTCGTCGAGATACTCTATTCGCAAAGAGAATTAACGGCACGTAAAGATTAATTGTGCATAAAAATGTTAAAGTTTCGTAAAGAACAGTAAGTAAAGATGCGTAAAGAATATTAAAAACGTGCAGTGTTAAAAGCGAAACTGGTCAAAATACCTCGGTAATTCTACTGAAGATGGATGAGCCATAATGATCTTTATTGATTGATTAATTAATTAATTAATTAAACCAAACACTTGCAGACATGCGTGCAAGTTTACAATGCAATAGATGAGGAGTTATCTAAAAAGTATAACTTTCTTTACAAATATTAAACTAGATAAAGTTAAACAGAGATCTATTTACAAAGCAGCGCTTAAAGTGCTCTGTGCGAATACGTGGTAGCATATAGTTATGGCCACGTTGACGTAAAGATTGATATGTACGTTTGTTCGGTAGATATGTGTATCTGTAGCTGTGATTTTTTTCCATAGTTGTTTATCCCTAATTTGAATTACATCACTGATGAATAAACGCTCCTTGGCGTAGCCATATTTCCATGCTCGCTTGCAGAATTTATCGATCTTAGAGAGGTATTTACCACCATATGCACATGCCTATACTTCAGTTGCGTTTGTAAATACGGACATAATTAAGCTATGGAATAAGATCGTAAGCTCTTCTAAAGTGTACCCATAGTACTCACAAATTCTGAGGATATAGAGTCTTGAATTAGCCTTATCCTTCATATTATGAAAATGAGTGTCTCAGTTGCATGGATTTTCATGAGAAGTTACTCCCAATAATTTAAGTTCGCTCTTTCTGTCAATAATGGGCACAGTCCCAGGAGGATTTTGGGGGGTCTTTCCTCTCATTACTACTTCCTACGTCTTAGTTAGGTTTAATTTCAAACGATTCATATTTGACCAAAGCTTAATGTTCTGAATTTCACTGACCGATGAGTCATCATGCAAATTTGGCCCAACTGGAATACTCTAGGTTATATCGTCTGCAAACTTAATAAGCAGGTTTGTTTCCGGGTTCACAACATTAATGTCATTAACCATGATGGAAAATAACACTGGATCTAAGACGGTCCTCTGTCGAACATCCCTGTCGATTTCAACGAGCTTTGTTGTGACACCGTCGACCACAACTCTCAGTTTACGGTTACTCAAAAAATTGATCATCCTGTTAATAACATAAGGGTTGATATTATATAACTTGAGCTTATTACATAAAATCTGATGGGAAACAAAATCGAAAGCTTTACTAAAGTCGAAAGAATACACCTTAACAATGTCTGCGTCTTTATCCAACCAGTTCAACTAATAATGTTGACATTTAAGAAGGGCCATTGTGGTATTATATCCCTTCTTATAGGCAAGCTGGTTAAGTCCAGTAGATGACTGCTGAGTAGTAGATATTTCTTGTTTGACCTCTCCTGTCAAAAAATTACAGCTGGTAGTACTTCTCATGCAATATCACTCTGGATTTTATCACATCAAACGTGAAGTTATTGTGTCTAGATAATCAAGTTAGTATTGGAGATAGCATAGCATTTTCAGAGTATTTGGGATATTCACCGCGAGTGATATTTCAAAATTCATCAAAATATCACGGGCTGCGAAGCGCTGGGCACGTGATTTGGGAAGTTTTGAAATATAACAAGCAAGTTACGTTTCCACCACTTTGTCGTTGACTCTGGTGATGTGTTGTCTGCAAACAGCTTGTAATTCTACGCGTTGAAATAACGGATTAGGTTACTGGTACAATGGCAAAAAAGGGACCTTACAGCCCTTTAAGTTCAAGCCAAAAGTACAGTAAGAGGTACTGTAAGTATTTACTATATATGTGAACTGATCACTACAGTTATCACAACCACATTTGGGTATAATATTTAAATACATATAGCAAAATGACGTTTTTATGTTTATTTTGGAAAGGAATATTTGAGCAATCTCGTGTAAAAGCCTTATTAAAAGGATTAGGATATGTTGTCCTTGAATTCAGAGGTTCTTACAAGGACGAGGATTGAATGCAGCGTAAAATGCACCCATCTCAGAAACATGTAAAAATGTTGGTTGAATTGTTTTCCCTCCTGTAGCTAATTGTTTATTCCCTTTTTGCCTTCATTGTTTTCAGAGAGTAAGAAGGAGAAGAAAGAGAGAAAAGAGAAAAAAAAGAAGAGAGACTCGAAGGATTTAGAAACGTCCTCAAATGACTTCACCGTGGAAAACGAAGAAAAAGATGGATCCTCATCAAACTCAAAATCTGTGTTTGGAATGTTCAGACGAAGTGGACGGAAAGATAAAAGAAGTTCAAAACACGGCTCCTCGGACAGCTTGAAGAGACTAAGTGTTGATTCAACTGAATTTGGCGACAGGCGCTCTAGTGGTGTTTCGATCGATGAGTCAGCGAGTGTCAAAGTTTCAACACCTAGCACTGAAGTTGTTAAGGAAACTGAGAAGCCAGAGACACAGAGGGACCAGCCTTCCGAAGTGAAAATTGTCAGTGCAGCTCATCCAGCTCCGGTGGAAAATAAAGATTCTGAGAGACCTGATGTTCCCCTAGCAGCAGAGATTCTCAAAACCGTAGATACTATGATGGCGAACAATGGGGAGGAGGAGGTTCAAACCAAAAAGGACGAGGAAGAATCAGTTATAACGCCAGATAATGATAAGGGAAGCCTAAAGCAAGAAGAACAAATTGCTGAAAAAGAACCAGAACCTGTAGTTGAGATGGAGAGTCAGTTGCAAGAGGCTAACACTAAAGAACATAAGCAAGAAGAATCAGTGAATGAACAGGTGTTAAAACCCGATAATCCTGATCAGGAAGTACTCCTGAAGATTGAAAATGGTCCTGCAGTAGAAAAAGAAGAAGTCCATTCTTTAAAAAAGGGGCAGCAGAAAGAAAATCAATTCCAAATGCAAGTCGAAGAATTTCTTAAACTTAATGCCAAAGTCGGAGAAGTATCGTCGCCAAAAGCTAAAAGTGAGGAGCAAAATGAGAAGGAGATTGGAAATGGTCCTACAGTAGAAAAAGAAGAAGTCCATTCTTTGGAAAAAGGGCGGCAGAGAGAAAATCAAATCCAGTTGCAAGTCAAAGAATTTCTTAAACTCGATGCTAAAGTCGGAGAAATATCGACGCCAAAAGCTGAAAATGAGGAGCAAGAGGAAAAGGGAGAAAGGAAATCTGTTGAAGATTCAGAGCGAAGGTTTAACGTGATCCATAAAACGCCTCCATTTAAGGGGGAAGGCACCTTTACCACAAGCACCCCCAAGCGTGAATCAACCAAAAGAGCGCAGGTTGAAAAAAGCCGTGGCCCTGAAATTCAAGTCCAGTCGACTAATCATGCAGTAAAAGGAGACAAACAAACATCCGTAGTGGAGTTTCACTTTGAAGCTCAAATCGGAAATGACATCAAAGATGCAAAGTTCTCTACAGAAGTACTCCTGGCCCAGTTGATAGAAGTTAACAAGAAACTTCGCATGTTGCAAGAAGAACTGCTTGAGTTTCGGAAATCAAACGGTAAATTGGCATAACTACAGAAACTCTCTAACTGATGCGACTCCTGATAAATGTAGGATGTATTTTTTTTTTTGAAGTTTAATGTTGTGTAACGCGGGAGAAAGGTTTGTTTTGTTCATTGCCTTTAGGTTCTTTTCTTTTAGCTTTGGAACAATTTTCCCAAACTGGCTCACTAAAATTGCAAGGTTTTTTTTAGAGTCTTCGTGCTTATTCTACCTGTTTTCATTTTTGGAACAAAAAGATAGTCTCAAGCAAGCAACAGCCTTTTGTAAAATTCCATATTCTTAGTAATCATCAGAATATTCTTGGCGGAAATTCATTGTTTAGCTGTTAGTCTGTGTAACGCTGGATCGGAAAACTACCCTGGTCAGGCTGGTCAATAAAAAGCAGTTCCTGCACTTTATTGTTTTATTGTAGTCCAGCCGTTGTATCTCTTTTAATCATCTTCTCTTACCTTCGTCATGCCTCATGTGGATTCCTGGTTCCATTAATCCAAATTCGTGAACAATCATTGATTCATTTCTTTTGAAATCAAATCAGAATATTAGAGATTAAATTTATGAAGAAATGTAAGATCGTTAATCGACTTCAGGACCATAACCTGCATTTGGTCTGTGGCGAAACTCATTGCTAATAGGAGTAACTTGTTATCAATTATAGTTGGTAGGCCGCGCGGTATATTTAAGACTGCTTTGATGTTACCTTAAAAAAATTTTATTGAACCTACTCTGCAAAATACAAATTGAACTTTTAAATTGGAATTTGATTGAATCTTCTCAAAAGACACTGGTGAAAGACACCTGGCCGATTGACTCCATGACGCAATTGCCATCTCATTTCTTGCTAGAATCAAGACCGATTGTTCGAGGGAGATGAGATAACTTTGCGGAAAATAGATAACTGCTCGATGTTAAACCGGATTCTCGGAACAACCAAGTGTAAGACTCAACCATGAGAATTAAAAGTCAGATCTTAGTGTTCCTTTCAAACTTAGACTGGCGAGACAAGCACGAAAGAATTGTAAGAGTTCTTCTGGCAATGTAAAGAAACCAAATACCGAGCAGTTAACCAAGCTACTACTATTCGACAGCTTATTGAGAAGGACAGTGAGGTCTACGGTGTTGAGGTGTTGCTCAGTTTATAATTTGGTATTGCAAGGAAAAATTCCGACAATGCTGTATAGCGGTGTCCTGAAATCCTAATTTGTACGTTGTTTTTGTGGTTAAAGCTCCGGTGGCGGTGAAACAAAACTATTTGCGTTAATGCGGTTTCGGTGTCAAGTGGACCTTTGTGCAATAATCCATGACCCTTGTCGACCAAATCTGAAGCGAACTTAGCTCATCCTATTGGCAAAATTTCTGCAAAATGAGTGTTACTATGCCAAGGAGAATTTGAAACAAGGTTTGCGCACTCAGTCTGCATATTAAGAAAGAAAGATATGATATGTAAGCAAGGCGAACCCATCAAACGGTTCCAACCAAGGCGATCAGCAAAATTTTCGACCTAATTAATTCACAATACTTGAAAGTATGTTGTAAAGCTTTGTTACCTTTTCAGTTGTGTTTGTCAATCGTGTGACTGGGTATTCGGTGGATTCGGAGTTTCCTAAACTTTTCGTGCGGTAAAGCCGGGCGGTTTTTTTTAGATAATTTTTGCCGTCTTGTGTTATTCAGAATTCTGCAACGACTCCTACTAATTAAAAGCGTGACTTCGCTCCTTTTAAACGATCCAGAGTCACCGTAACTCAATATTTTTAATCTCTCAGCGTTTTCAAAGTGACATTCCTTTGAAAGAAAGTGAGAATGTATCTTTTTTTTATCCAATTCAAAAGCTTTTCTAGATAAGTTTGGGCATTCAAATTAATTATCGCCTTCCTAATTACTGTGCCTCTGGCAGCGCGGTTGACCTACCAATTTGGCGGCTCCGTTGGACGACTGCTCTATTATCACGTTAATCGTTAACAAATAAACACAATTTGAAATGCTAAGTGACTGCGGGAACGACTAACATTTTTACTTGCAGACGTAAACACAGAGAAGGATGTCTTATTCGTTTGGGCATTTTGCCATCTATCCAAGGAAGTGGAGGAAAATTTAACTTATTGTTTCTCTGTTGAGCCATTTGAGTTTCAACATTCTTTGTTAGGTGAGTGCAGTTACATTTAGCTTTTAGTCCAGACTTAAAATTGTAAATCTGTCGGCAGCAAAGCGTATGACGAGGTATGGTCCTTCGAATTTTATCTTAGTAAGGGGCTTGAAAAAATGACAGCTCGTTCTGTTTTAGCAGAGGGTCATCTTGACGGTTTTTGTGCTGTATCTGAACTCCATAGAAAACCTCAAGTTAATTTAGGTATTTCAAAGCGAACTTACATCTCGGTGGAATAGGCACTCTTATATATTGACAATACGGGGACAGGGTATATTTTGTCCGACTTTAGCCTCAGAAGTAGGCAATGTTTCCCTTTTTGTAGCATCCATTTCACTTCATAACATTTTTTTTTTTTACAAGGCTCAGTTCCTAAAATTGCCTGAGAAACTTCTATTTTTAACTAAAAACCTCACAACATTCCGGTCTTTCCAGATATCGTTTGCCAAAACAGAGATTGCAAGAGAATCACGTGTTTCTTGGTCACATCAAAGACTCGTGAATTTACGAAACCGCGGTGTAATATTACGTCCTGCGCTACTGAGGGTCAAATATTTATCCTTCTGACTTATATCGGTTGTTTGGTCTTTCCCTTCCCAGCGAAATGGATGCTAGGGACTGCACTGTGTTAGAGCGACATTTCTCGAGACTTCAACAATGTCTCGAACCTTCAAAACTTTTGCGTCATCTTGAAACAGTCGGTGTTATCGATGAAGACGACGTGGAGACCATTCGCGAAGAGAAAAAGAAAACGTCGAGGGAAAACCAAGTGACAGTGTTTGTTGACATTATTAAAAGACGAGAGAACGGCCTCAGACATTTACTTCAGGCTTTGTTGAAATCTAAAGTGCAAGATTTCTTGGCGAGAGAGCTTCTTGAAGATGATGTCTATGATGAAGAAGGTAAATACGTTGTTCTGTTAAACTTACATTTATTGACAGTATTTCTGTCTGCTTTTTCACAGCTGCGTTGCGTTACTTTTTTCTAATTGCCTTTTTGTTTCTAAATCTGGAAATTATCCTACTTTATTTCTAAAACGTGACTCGGACTTCATGTGAAAATTGAATGCTAGTACATTATGAACTACAAAAGCAGCTGTTTCATCTTTATATTTCTCTCCTGTTTACTTGCTCTTATCAATATTGGCTTTGTACGAGAATTTAAATAGATTCGTCTTACAAGCTGCGTGTTGAAACTTGTGGTGAAGCCCAACTTGAATCACTTCATCGTCGGCAATTATTAGCACTCATATTCCAAGTCCTTTCAATGACTGTGTATATTCCACTGCAAAATCGGCATAAATTAACTCTATCCGGCGATATCGTGTAAGTTGCGCGTTCTGGGTTCATGTTATGACTATCAGACGAGAATCGGAGCAGATATTTCGTCGATCTTTCTATTAACCGCTTGATGCTGTGGACCACTTCCTTAACCCCTCAACAACAATCAGAGCTTAGCACTTATTTTTAAAAATCCACATTTAAGTTTGCGATAATATAAAGCTGGTTAATTCGTATTCCATTGATAACACACCTCCATTAGCGGGAACGACATTGCACATAATAACATGTCATCTTTGCTTAGATCCCTCAATTTTAACCTCTGAATAATTTTTAAAAAATTTGTATATACGCGTGACTATGAGACCGATATATAAAGAAAGAGTTCACGTTAACACTCGTCAGTAACCAAGCATAAGCCAGCTTTGATGCGGGGTGAGTTTCTGATGAAACCGTAATGTAAAGTTAACGATGTGTCGGTGGGGGGTTATTACATGATAACTTGTTATTGTCAACTGAGTCGATAATGCAAGGCGAGTTGGCCAAATTTTTTTTTTCTAACAAAAGAGTTTCTAATTAAAAACCAACGTTTCCAACGTTCGCTATTCGTCAGTGCAAAAGAACACGGGAAGGGGTCGAAACTTCAGCCTTCAAAAAAACTTCTGTGGCCAATTCAAATTATCAACACAGTTGATAAAACCATGTTATAAGCCAGCCTAATCGTGTTAAGGTCATAGTAGCCTAAAGCGGCCTGTCAATAATGAGTTCGCTTGTCAGCGTTTGTTCGTCGAGATCTGAAGAACGCGGAAAGTTTGGAGACCACGAAAGATGCGTAAGAGTTGCTGGAGGCGTAGCCAAGAGCAATCCTAGTTTCTTGAGTGCTCTTCACTCTTCTCAAGTGCTACATATTTCGATGAATACACAGCTCACGTATGAACTAATTGTTTAAAAATTTTAGAATTTTTTTTTTCATATATTAATATTTATTGTCACAATCTTTGGTAAATCTTTATCAATCGTCTGTTTTTTAAAAAGAAGCTCTAATGAAGAAAACATTTGTTGACAACCCATTACTAACCTGGGAAAGAAAAAAGTAGATGCTCTTTTGGTTTTCCTCATAAACCAAGATTTCATTTAATTTTTCACTCGTGTATAACATTACTTGAAGACCGGATTTTAAGTAAAAACATGTGCAAATTTTGCCGGATCGCTAGATTAAAGCGTTTTACCCGAAAACTGTGGATAAAAGGCTGTACAGGAATGACCAAGAAATCTCTTTCTCTCAAAAGATTTATTCTAGGAGGTCCTAGAAGTCCCGTCAGAAGCGAAAGACGCTTGAGTTTCTCCGGTTTATGGAGCCCACGCATTATATTCACCATGCCGAAATCGTTGTTTGACTTTATGGTCAGAAAATTGCGTAACGCTGTGTTAAAATTTCTGAAAGGTATTAAATTTTACACAAAATCCTTTACGGAAATATAAACAATTATTCAACAGGTCAAATAATTTTCCAAATGTCGCACAAGCCTCACCTGATCGAAGGCAGCAAGGTCAGTTTTCATTTTTAGCCATAACCCTGATTGCTCTCAGGGTTATGGCTAAAATTCAGGCTTTTTAACTCGAAACGGCCACTTTTGTCGATATTGGGGCTTAGATGAACATTATTTTCTAGCTCGAGTATCAAATAGCATTTTCACTTTTCTTTAGAGCTCCAAAAGGTCAATTTCGACTTGGAAGGAATGGGAAAAGCGTGAAGAAAATTTTAAAACACGCAACTCAAATAGACGGGTAATTTGCAGCAAAATACAACTGCATATGCCACGTGAAGAGCGCAATGCCTTACGTACGATATGAGAGATTTAGACTATGGTGGCTTAATTAACAAATAGAGAAGCCTTGACTGTGCTCTTTTCTGTTGCAAAGAACCGAGAAAGCGGCTTGAGCACTTAAGAAGTGTAGGGAGAAACACGCGACGTAGTAAAACAAATAACATAATCAATCAAGCCCTCCGCTTACGAGTTATGAATTTCACCGTAGTCATTCTCTGACCTTTCAGTCGGGTGGGGGCAGGGAAAAGAGGAGGATGCTTAAGAGGGTATAAAGTGTGAGTTGACATAAATGTATGAATGAGGTGATTGGAAGGAGAATTATTTAGGTTACCCACGGCAGTGATTTCAGTTTCTAACATGTATACTTGATACACATCCAATTGATTTAATTTTTCAGAAATCAGCAGTATATTGATGGAACTGGAAAACGACTTGGATGAGACTCAATCCTTGAAATTGAGCCTTATTGAAGAGCAAAAACGGCACAAAAACACTAAGAGGGAGTTGGAGGAGATCAGGAGAAGCTCCATCGTGTTCAGTGACTCTAGCAGCTCGGGTCTGTTCGCTGATTATGATTCTGCTCCAAGCGACGGCGAGGAATTTTGCGACTACTCACCCAGAGAGGAGATTGAAAACACGCCAAGTCTGAATGAAGACCATTCCGCATCGATTTTTGATCAAGATCAGACTAAGTTCCAAGACCCGGTATCTCAATCAGCAGCGATAAATGACGATTTAGAATGGGAGCATGAAGATGGCTGGCGAAAGTTTGGGAGCCTTGATAACCTAGACTCTCTGACTCGAAAAAATTCTGAAGGAGGTTCGACTATTAAGCTGCGGAAAAGCTCCTCCATGGGAAAATTGAACAGTGATGGTCGAGGGAGGTACGTGGACGAACGTAGACGCTCTGGACATGCTAGGTGGTGCAGCGACGAGAGCCTTGAGGGCAGCAGAAAATTGTCAAATTCGCTACACAGACGACCAAGCGACGATGGAAAAATGGACCTCCTTGAGAGCAAAGTGGCTCTTCTGGAAAAAAGGCTTCGAGATGAGCAGCGGAAGCGTCAGATTTCCGAAAATGAAGTTGCCAAGTTGCAAGTAGAGAAGGAGAATCTGTTCGAGGAACTCGAAGATACTCGAGACCAGCTACATGTAAGACTCAGCCAACTGAATCTGTTCTGCGCTGATGACGATTGCTATGAAGGAGAGCTACATTTCGAGCAAAGTGAAAATGTCGACGATTTTTCAGAGGCACGAAAGGTGAACTATGAAACTAGTTCCATGGAAAGACCTATCCAAGCGCCAACCGGAATTGCGGAGACCGCTTCCCGTAGCAGCTCACCTGGCGTTGATAAGCTTCGTACCCAGTCTGAGCAAATGAGAAGAACACGTCTGACGGGAAGTTGGAGAACAGTGAATGCTCAGTTTTACGAGCTGGACGAATACGATGATGAGATTAAGGTCGAAATGGATCCAAGTAATATTATGGACACATTGCGCAGACTCAAAACGCACAATAACTGTTTGTATAACGATATATTGTATGAAAGAGATGAGCTTAAGAGTCTGAGAAAAAGAGCGTCAAGACTAGAATCACTCAAATGATTAAGATGTAGTATGTCAAGTTGGAATGCATAAACTTCGCCTGCTTGCCTGTCACCAACGACAGAGTAACCATCTGTAGACTGAAAGCGAATTCCTCAGATGAAGTGAAAAACGATTATTATTTAAAGAACACTAAACAATGTCCGCTTATACCAAGCAAACGATTCGGTATTCCATTTTTAAATCCGAGCTAGAAAGTTAAAAAAGTAAAATCTCTCCGTCGATTAATTACGAACAGTTCCCAGTCAAGCAATTCAATACGTAAGAAATTGTATTTGATCACATGATTATTTATCAGCTTTCTGGTGGTACTCGTAAAAGCAAAGGATATTTCACTACTCCAGCTTTGATCTTTCATTTTCGGTTGTTGAAGTTCCTGAGGAAAAAAATTATTGGCATAAATCTTTAAAGATGAGTTTTATTTCATTCAATCTTGAATTAAAGGGCTTGTGTTAGAATGGGACAAGAAATGTGAGTACATAATTATATTTATTTTATCTAGAGACTTTTTTCACTCAAAAACTCAGGTTAGGTGTCTCTATGAATTGTAATGTGTAAGACTAGGCTAAAAACAGCAATGTCGTGGAATTCGTGTTTTTGTTATTGTTTTTTGTTTTCTGTCGAAATGAAAAATACCAAAAGGAAGGACATTCAGCGAAAAGTACCAAGGTATGAAATGGTGGGGGGAGGGGGGGATGGATGGGTCAGTTAGTAGACTTGGAAATGATCTTTATTTGCGTGTGAATGCAAATTCATTTTTAACTGTAACACACACCCCTACAACCTTTTTCGGAGACAGAGGCTTGCGGCTTCTGAGAATTGGCTTACAGCAAATGACGAGCATTCAAAATTTCGTCCACAAAAGTTTATTTTTTTCATTATTTTTTTATTATTATTATTATTCAAAGACCTTATATTAAATAGCACTCGACTTCATGCTTCCACTAAGGATTTAGCAATAGTTAAAATACAACAAATAGATACGGCGCTATCAAGCCAATACCAAAAATTAATGTTTACATTTATCAGTTAAATAGTTTTTACAGATTCCTCACAATACCATAATGCGTTCTTTTTGCGAAGAAAATAATTAATGAACCTTGATCTTTCACTGTTTAAATTATATCGGTGATAAATATCCCCTGTAATCCTTTTTGCTGTGTTGTTGTTTGTTTGTTTACGTGTTTGTTTCTCACAATATATGTACCAAAGTAAACTGATAAAGCTTCCAGCGTTACAACACTACCCTCGTAAAGGGGTGATTGCAGAATCCTAAGCATTGAACTACATTTAATGATGGAAAACTATTATAAATACTTATTGAAGAATGTGTCTTTAAATTCTTTCCCCAAAACACACCAAAAGAAAATAGCTTCTATCAATTTCTTACTATATGTTGACAATGCCTGGACACTGAACTATTCTAGGAAACCTCTCTACATCTTGGCTCTACATTTCAAACCATAGGCCGTGTTCTACAAACATTAAAACAACAACAACAACAACAACAACAACAGCCTAAATAACATTTGAGTAAAGAATTTATACAGAACGGATGAACTGTCACGCTTTTCTGCTATGGAACGTCATTTCTAATGGTGTCCTACAGTGTTTAGTTTTGTTTGTTTATATGCTTGTTTGTTTCTCACAATACATATACCAGTGTATACTGATAATGCTTCTAGCGTTACAACGCTACTCTCGTAAACTATTAAAAAAACCCGTAATCTGAAGGGGGTGATTGCAGAATCCTAGGCATTTAACTACATTAAATGATGGAAAACTATGGTAAATACGTATTGACAAATGCTTCTTTAAATTCTTTCCCCAAAACTCACTAAAAGAAAACAGCTGCTATCAATTCCTTACTATATGTTGACAATGCCTGGACACTGAACAATTCTAAGAAACCTGTCTACATCTTGGTTCTACATTTCAAACCATGGGCCGTGTTCTACAAACATAAAAACAACAACAACAACGACAACAACCTAAATAACATTTTAGTAAAAAATATACACAGAACGGGTGAACTGTCACGCTTTTCTACTATGGAACGTCATTTGTTATGGTGTCCTAGAGTGTTTAGTTTTGCCAATTTACATATCAAAAGGGCTGCATCAAAAAATCATTCTCAATCATTCCTGTCTAAAAATGTTTTCGTATACTCACATGCACAGAGCACGAGTTAACAATCTTTGCGAAAGTCTTTAAGCTAATGAAATGTCATCGTTTTTTTCAGGTACGGCCTCAATCCCTGTGCGATATCATTCCTTCCAATCTTCTCCAGGTTATCGATAACATGATAAAGAGGTAAATCGGGGTGTGTCGCCTTCAAATGGTCCATTAATTCATGAGAGGGACTACCGTTACGTTGGAACGCATTTTTCAAAGATCTCACGATTGTGGATGGAATGTTGTACCGGAAAGCTAGTCTTTCAAAGTTCCATCGGCCTCTTTGCATGGTTTCAAGCTCATCACACATCAAGTCGAACACGTCATGGTGATTTTCTTCCAGCTTTTCGAGGGTCACATCCTCTAGAAGAAATCCAGTTTGGTGATGATTATTTGAATTGCTCAAACCGAAACAACCCTATTTCCAATAACTACAGTTCCCATAACGAAATACCCTACCAAATCTGATAAGGGTGACATTTGAGCAATAGGGAACTATGCTATGTTTTCATAAAATGAAAAAATCGAGTCTAAACTGCTAAAACCCTGTTCACATACTCTCGTCTAAACGCACTTATTTACAAATGAGAGCGCGAGGAGTTTTTGAGATATTTCATAAAATGAAATTCAGTAATCAACGACTACCGCTGAACTTACCTGGGCTAACTGCGTATTCAACATGTGCAGGCGCGTCGGACCGTGAAGGCGGTAACGATGCTGAATCTTGAGATTGTGGTATTGGAAGCCCACTTCCATCGGACGACTCACACCAGTTGTGAAGAAGTGTCATTGATCCACTTGATTGAATAAAAACGGAATGCAGAGAAGGTGATATGGATTCATTGGATTGTGAAGCTGCCTTGATTTTGGGAGAAATTTTTTCAATACTCGTCGATTCCTGCTCCCCGGAAGGCTTCAGTGTATTTCTTGGTCTGCCGCATTTCGTAATAACGATCGCGACGAAAATTCCAAAAGAAACTACGACTGCAACTGCAAGCAGAATTATTCCGATCTTTCCTATGTCTGTCGGCGCGTCGTTATCAACCACCTGAGTTGACATTATTGACGACTTAGTTTCTTTCAGGACAATTGAACTTGTTGGTTGATGTGTTGACACAATGCTTGGAGGAGGCGTGGGTTTTGTCAGTCTGAGCGTTGATTTGGTGGACCTGATTTGTTTGTTGCACGGTGTGGACCGAACTTTGCACTTGTGTTTGTAACTACTGCATTCGCTTTCAACTAAGTCTTTTTCATCTCCACAACACTCTGAACAAGGGTCACATGAAAACGACAAAGGTTTATAGTAATATCCTTCTTTGCACCTGCTACACTTGCTGTTTGACTGAAGGGTGCAGTTCTTCAATATTGCTTTCCCTGTCGAGCATACCGTGCAGGGCTTGCAATGAGCCTTGTCGTATTTGTCAGAGTATGTTTTGCCAAGATGACATGGAACACAGTGAATATCGGTCCAATTTTCAATTTTGGTTCCACATGGTACCGAAGGCTCTGATCCAGCCGGACAGGAGGGGCAGTCCAAGCATTGATATCCTGCCTTTCCAGCGGCGTTGGTCCAAATTATTTGTTCCGGTTTACACAAGAAATTTGCTCCAATGGGACAAACCTATTGACGAAAGAATGACACATTGTGAAAAAAGCTTGTTTTTGCATTCGATTACCAAAATCTCCTGCTTGTTTTAGTTTAATGAGCTGATAAATAGTGTTGCAGTTGAAGACGAATTAAGACATTTATTCCATCCATTTTGAAATCACTGGTAAGCCATGACTGACTTTGAGCGGTACTATTTGTTCACAAATCGCACCATATTTTGCTCTAGATAGCATCTTTTTCCCAATAAATGAAAAAGCAGCTAAAACAAAATAACTAATCAAATTATAGGAAAATGAAAGACAAAGATACCATTGCGGGGCGAATTTTAGCAAATTTTGTCCTCAAAACTAAACAACACAAAACCCTGTATTTGGCAGATTGAATTTTGCAATTTCCAAATGAATGTAATGAAGTGATAATCAAGGTATGTGTCGCGCAATTTGATCAGAAATCGTACTTGTGAATTAAAATTTCACGCGTATAATTCTAGACCTAATAATATACATGGAAAAATTACTCAGTTCTGATTGGTTAAGATAAATGCAGTTTTCAGGTAATTCAGTGCAGAAGAGTTAATTCAGTGCAGAAGAGGGTTGATTCAGTGCAAAGAAAGTAACAAATCAGACATTCTGATCGGTCAATAATCAAAGAAACTCACAGACAGCACATCAAATGCGAGCCTTGGATGTCGGAACAAAATTTGAAAATTTTAAAATTTGCGAGCGAAACAATGGCCGGCGTTTTAGGTAGGTTTTCTTTCGTCACCGCGGCTGAAAAACAGCTCAAACAACGAAAACACTGCAATAAGCACTGCTTTTTGGTTGTCGGTTTGGAAAAAGTGGTGTTTAGAGAAGGGAATTGCCAAGGAAATCGAAAATTACGAACCGACCCAGCTTAACACTTTGCTCGAGCGATCCAACGCCGAAATTAAAAACAAACATGATTAAACCTCAGAAAAGACGATTCCATTTCATCGAAAGTGATTCGGACACAGACTGAACAATTCCTTGAACTGTTTAGCCGGACTTTGAACTATTTTGCGCCTTAACGATGTGAAGATATTATTGTTTTGATCGTACGCGGTTGTTTTGACCGAAAGCACGGTTTGAATAAATTATTTTTGCACTTGATGCGCGCGCTTTGCATATGCTCAATTATGATAAGCCATCTCGTATTTTTCCACGTAATCACATCATTTTTCTTGTGCAATTTGTAATAAACAAGCACTTGTTAATTTTTCAAAGATCACAAATTTGTTAGCCTTTAAAAAAATTTACCCGTGCTTATTTATTGCTAATTGCACTCGAAATCATGTGATTACCTATACAAATTGCACTCTACTCAGTCCAATTACCATTATTAATCTAACGGTGTGATTTCATCATATGGTAAAAAAGTTTATTACCTGAGTTAAAATGTTTCCTGGACACATTTCCTTTTTTATGGGTAGGTCTACATTTTTCATCAATGATGTTCAAGAACGCTTGAATCACGTAAAATTTGGTACATCAGTTGTGTTCTTTTTACGAAGTATGAGTCTCCCTCGATATTGTGGATATGAAAACTTCATTCCATAAGAAAAGGAATTGATTTGATCTTCTAATTTATTTGAACGAGGAGCAAACTCAGCCTGACCTACGTTCATGTGGAATTTTCTATCAACTCACTCACTCTTAGTGAAATTGTATAATATGGTCTATAAAGTTTGAATTTGTATCGTATCCCTTACATTTTCATAAACTATTTGTGATAGAAGGTACATTGGTCGGTTGACACCTGTACATCAATGTTGAATTGCATGATGGGAGGTAAATGAAAAACAAATTGAAGTACTTTGACCTTTTGTTATGAAATCACTTGAGTAGGCAAATTGACACCTGCTGTCACATTCGGTTATGTGAATAATTTTAGGTATTTTTTTGAGAACGCCAGAAACACACAACTTTCAGTGTACTTTATTTAAGCTCACATGATATCAATGCAATAGTTAATGCTCCATACAGACCATTGAAATGAGGAATTACTTATTACCTAGTTTTGAAAACTGAAAGTTTCAGGCGTCAGAAATTTATCAGGGAGTGTTTTCAGGAAATCCGTTTACTGTAGACAGACGATATCATGGCTTTCCAAATTACGTCATTAGTTGTGGTTGATTTTGGCATCAACGAAAAACAGCCTTCTAGTGTATTAAGATGAAACTCTATCAAAAATGAATTTCCCAGTTGAATCTTTTTGACTGAATTATTTGCCGGTGTTCCGTTGTGAAAATGGTGTGACCACCAAATAGCAAGTGTACGTATAAAACGGCTCACATCCAACGATTCACCACTATTTTTGTCACGAAGCTTCGTGCTTTAGTCAGTAAAGCAAACAACGTAAAGAAAGAAACCTTCGCCAAAGGCACATCTCCGTTCTTTACTCTACTCACTCATTAAGTTGACGACCAAATTCGAGAGGCAGACTGCGTTTACAGTTTTTGTTAGATTTGGATAAACTTGCCGAACAAGCCAAAATGAACGATGGTAAATTGAGTCGTTAAGCCCCTTTCACGAGTTAATAACAAGGGTCACACATGAGTCAAAATACCCTATCGAAGTATAAAAATATTACCTTTTGTCGTCATTTCAGTCGTAAGCCATTCGATTCGGCCTAGACAGCGCACAACCGGTCGTTATGTATAACAGCCAGTTACGGCGCAGATGATCATTTTCCTTAAAAGTTCGTAGAGTCGAAAGGTACACCACGAGCAGCTTTTGGTTACAGAATTCAAAATTTTCGAGCACACCGTAATGAAAACTAGAGCGACGACAGAGAAGGAACCTGGTAAGCTATATTGCATTAAAATGATATACATTTAAGACAAACTACAGCAAGTAGATATTAAACTCCAGTAAGTGTCCCAAGATTAATCCCTTTTGCCATTCAACGTGGCTCTCAATTAGATGATTATGAACGAAAATCACCTCTTATGAAAACATATAGAAGGACAAGCATCGACATTTAATCAAACAAATTCGAAATAAAACCATAGTCTAACGAAAACAGTACAATTTACCAGTTCCAGCGGCCCGGAATGGAATTATGTGGCGAAGCACTATTTCCCGTGATCTATGATGTGATGAGTAAGCACAAATAGGCCATCCCTAAATAATATTTTGAAAATTCGCTTCGAAAGTGCAAACTACCGACAAAACGTTCCATAGAACCGTGGTCTCTGAGTTAATTGTCTAATAAGATAAAGCTTATGATCCATGTACTCACCAGCATAAAGAGCCACAGCACAGCAACGATGTCCTTTCTTGTCATCATGGTACAGACAGAGTGGTGCAATCCTGTCGAAGTAAACTTCGTTGAGCTTAGTTCCAGCAGACGAGAAGATTGTTGTCCCATGTTGACGAGAAGATTGTTGTCCCATCTGCACAGTACTTGAGGAAAGCCTCAAGAGTGGACACAAGAGAGTGAACCTTTCAGCAAAATGACTCGTTCTTTAGTTCAGCGATTTTTACCAAGTAAACGGCACTGGACCAATTTCGGAACACTATAAAAGCACTTGAATATTAGATGGCTACTAGCTACTGAGTAAAGCTTATAACGTACTAATATAAGCTTCGAAATGCCATACAAGACGATCATTATATTACTTAATTAAATCGTCTGGGTTTTTCCCGTAAGGAACTTTAAGGAACCAATCAGTTTTCAGCACGTCACTAAAAGTGATACTCGTTTCGTCACGAAATCTAAAGCACCCACGAATTGCGCCAGCGCCAAAAAAAGCTTCACATTCGTGCCCTCGAAGGGAGAAAGAGAAGGAATGCAAGATATGTGGACTGGTTCCAATAGCTACCTTTAATGTCAGTTATTCCAGACCTAGACCTCATTTCCTAACATTTTTTTTTTTCATATTCATACAGAAACCTCTCTCATAGACTGAAGCTGGGAGATGGGCCCAAATGAAATTGACTCTAACGTAGTTAGAGCCTAGTAATTTCCTCGTACGTGATCGTATGTAAGTTTTTTTCCATCAACGTGGTGGTTTAAATGTCAAGAAAGTGTAGCAGTGGGTGTTTCGTTTAATAAATAGGCGTTGCCTCTTGTTGACAGATTTATTCGACGACAAGAATCGTGATTGACATTAATTCAATAGATTGATTTAAAAGCGTTAGATTATTATGTTTCAAGTCAGTTTTTCAGCCGAATCGAATAAAGAATTATTTTGTTATCGTTTTTCTGTCTCTATATATTACCAGTAACTGCTAACCCGTAAAGTAGACTGTTGTAACGAAAAAGTCGCCACAGAAGTAACTTTATATTGAAGTTTTTTAATTTTTTTACAAGATAAAGACTTGATTTGCGTTTGTTCTAACATTGCACAATTATAAATGTAGTTGAATAACTTTTAGATCGAATAATTATTGGTTTAAGCATTTTAGAAATCAGTATATCAGTAGTCCTATAATTTGAATTAAGGCTATAGTCAAGAAAGTGTAGCAGTGGGTAAATAACCGCAAATCTCGAATTCATCTCTAAACCCAACAGCGTTTATTTCTATAAATGAGCTTTACAGTTTGCACGACTGGAAGTACACGCAAGTACGAAGCAAAAAGCAGTAGAAGTAGAAGCAAAATTCTCACAAGAACTGTAACAAGAGACCCCCACAAAGGGCTCCCATTACAAAGTCTAAAGTTGCGAAATCCTACAAGCGACTATATTGTCACGCAATTCTAAGACACAAAAGTCCTAGTTCACTCTGTTACAAAAGGGACAAAACTTTTTTATTCAAATTGAAGTTAATATAAAGAAAATTTTGTCCATAAAAAATTTAGACTTATGACAAGAGTCCCGATTTATTTTACATAAAAAGCAAACCTCAAGACAATCTTATCATATGCTAAGACGAGATCGCATTTTTTTAAATCAAGTCAAATTATTTCTCATTACAAGCCCTATAGATCGAATTGAAGTGAAGACGATAATGTTATTCAGAGGGGTAAAAGCATATTTTCGTTATCGCCTTGCATAAATGCGCACTTTGAAAGAAAAAATCGCTTAATTGCAGTAAAAGTGTATTTTCTCTAGCTTTCAGAGGAAGTTATCTCTGTTACGAGACAATTGCCGTTAATGCTATAATGAGCCACCATCTTAACCGTCAAGTTTACAACAAGCTACCTTCTTCTCTATCAATCCCTTCTTCCCCCACTCTCCTCCTTCCCAGTAAAAAAATGTTGTTGGGAAGGCAGGTCAGATAGTGTTGCTATAAAAAATTTATATAGAAAGCCTGTCTTAGCTCCCATATTCAGTAACGTAAACCCTTAACCAAGCAAATGCAGCAATGTGTGCATCAATTTGGGTAATAAAGCGGAAAAAAATTTGATCAGCATTTTGGCCTCAGAAAGTTTATCTGTGAGCCCATAAAGTTACACATACCTCACGCTTATTAGGTTAGTTACGGTAAAAAAATTCCCCGGGCAACCAACAAGCATTTCACTGCTGTCTGTACCGGTGGGTGGGAAATTCGAACCTTACCTGGGTGGGGTGGAGTGGAATTAGGCGTTTGAACCGGAAATGTCAAGTCTTTCCGGTGTTATACATCTGTTTTAGGAGGGTAAAGGTAAAGAGTCCGCTTTCGCAAGCAAATGGCCCAGAAAGATAATTTTTACATCATAGATTGATGCTTACAAGCGAAACATTCAATAGCAACACCAAACCCTACTTCGTTAGATTCTACAACATTCGGTGATCACGCGAAGAATCGTTCATTATTGGATTGGGCATTTGAACGCATTTTGGTCCAGTGGAGGATTTGATCTTGCCAATTTTCAAAAGTTCAAATGTCTTGAGGGTTGCCTGGGGGGAATGTTGAAGCTTCCAGTTGATCGACGCGTTATTAGTAAGTTATTCTTACTCTAGCAATTGACACGAGGTGAACGGTCTAGTGTTGGTGAACTGTCATCTTTTCGAAACACTTGTGCCTTTAATCCCTCCGCTATATCTTTCCTTCCGATTTTTTCCAGGTCTTCAATAAGTTGATGAATGGGCAGATTTGGGTGTTTGGCCTTAATGTGATCCATCAAAGCCCTAGAAGGACTGCCTCCGTGGTGGTACTCTTGTTTCAAAGAGCCTCGTACTGTGGGCGAAAGTTTGTAGCATTTAGCCAACCTTTCAAAGTCATAACGCGTACCTGATCTTTTTTGATCGAGTTTCATGCACATCCAATCAAACATTTCTGCATGATTTTCATCCAGCTTTTCAAGAGTCATACCACCTAGGAACCAAAATTAATATTGTAAGTACAGTCAAGCCATCGTTGCGCAAGAGTATGAATAATAAATCTCTTGCAGGGTAACAGTTACTTCTTTATCACTTCCGGAGAATTAATTATTTTATGAATGTTTCATATTTGTTTTAGTCAAGTAAAGGTGTATGAGATTGAAAATTGCTTCTCTGTTTCAAATTTTCAGGGGAAGATACAGTTGGTACTGCATCGTTATAAATGTCCGCATATGCCTCAAGGTTAACTTTCCGGAGAATGAGAACTAGAAGTAAAGCATAACAAAATACGACTGTTCTACTCCTGATTAACTCACCAGTCGTTGATGTACATTTGTATTCAGCTTGTATAGGTGAGCAGGAATCAGAGGGCTGTGAAGACGCACTTCTACTACCCTGAGATGGTGATCGTGTAGGATAGGACGAAACAGAGTGAAGATCGGCTTGGGGCGAATCACAGTGACCTGAAAGAGATGATTCAGGCTCTCTAAAATGAGTTGATCGACAGGCACTGGTGAAAGAAGAGGCACCTTGGTTGGGTTCAGATGAATTGGAAAGGTTTGGAGTCGGTGCCTCTTTCGACAGACCTACTAGAGGTGATAACCCAGTTTTCTCAGATGAATCAGTCAAGATGTGAAGAGGTGACGTAGATCCAGTTGCTTCAGACTGAGATAGCTCAGACTTAAAAGGACGATGGGGCTCCGGATGGTTTGGAAGGGAGGATTCAGACTCAACTTGGAATGGTAATGCTGGTTCACGTGACAGAGATATTCCAGACTCCATTAGCGCATTTGGTGCTAATCCATTTTGTTGATGTGGTGTAGACGAATTATGATTAGAGAGTGCTGCCGGATGGAGAAGAGGAGATGCAAAATCACTGGACTGGGACTGATTAGACACAGACCGTGTTCTTCCGTGAGAAGAATAATTGTCAACATCACTCGAATCCACCTCTCTTGGATGCCTCAGTGAAAGTCGTAGTCTAATTAATTTCCTAAGGATGATCAAGACAAGAACTACTATGCAAAGTACAGCAACTACCGCAAACAATATTATTACGGACGAAATCTCAGTTCCAACAGCATTCTCAAACTCTCCTGCTTTGTCTGGGGCCTTATAATCAACCTGAGTTGGTTTCAATGACGATTTTAACTCATTAAAAGGTAAGTCTTTCTCTTTTCTGTGTCCTGTCGTTTTTTTGTTGTACATGACAGTTAGATGTGTCTCCTGAGTTGTTGGCACAATTCCAGTAGGCGTTGTTGTTCCCAAAGGAGTTGTCTGAGTGTGGCTGCATGGCGTGAGCCTAAGTTGGCATTTGTGATCGTAGCGTTCGCATTCTTTGACGAATTCATCATTTCCATCGCCGCAACATTCCGCACAAGGCTTGCAGGCAAATGAAAAAGACTCATAGTAATATCCTTTTCTGCATTTACTGCACTTACTGTTTGAGATACGAGTGCAGTTCTTCAGTACTGCCTTCCCTGTCGAGCATACGGAACAAGCTGCACACTGAGCTTTATCATAATTGTCAGAAAATGCTTTTCCAAGTGGGCATGTAACGCAGTGAATGGCTGTCCAGTTTTCGATAGTGGATCCACATGGAACAGAAGGCTGCGATCCGGGGGGACATGTGGGACAGTCTAAACATTGATATCCCACCTTTCCGGTATAAGTCAACAGTATCTGATCTGGCTTGCACAGGACATCTGCTCCAGTCCTACAAAGCTGTTAAAAAAAAAAGAATAAAGATCAACATGTCTCTCAAAACAGATAGTTATAAAAAGATATATGCCCACTTTCATAAAATAAAGATTGAAAGTTACAATTAATATAATTGTTACGAAAAATTGTCTAAATTAAAGTCCTCTAACATTCTATAGAACAGTCTAGAACCCGAAGTCATCCAGCGGTGACCTTCTTATATAAGAACATTCTGGAACGTTCTATTTCTTATGTAATTACTCAGGTTTAGAAACCGTGATAATCTTCTTAATTTAGTTCTTTAGAGAAGTTTCTAGATCCTTGGACTTTATGTTTATAAAAGCGATAGTTTTGTCAAAAAAAGAAGAAGTGTGTACGGGTGTGTGTAAATGTGAAGAAGCTTAGTGCTGTAAAGTCGAGAAGTCGACTACGTGGAAATAAATCAGTCTGTTACCGACGATCCTGAATTTTGCCTCAGAACAACCCCGCTCTACATTGACACTCGTAACAGTAATTGTGGTAAATGTAAGCTCTGTGGAGAAAAATAAAATGCCAATCTCGCTTTTGACTTATTTTTGGATTTGACGTAAACATAACGTACATTTCCTGTCAAGAGAAAACCTTACTAACGCAAGAAGCGACACGATCAAATGTTATCCAAGTTTATATAACACTTCAACATAGATTTCACCTACACCAAAACCTCTCTGTGGTACACCGGTGCGTCGCTGACTTATGCATGCGTCCAATCCGTGACAAAATGTTTGTCATCGATGATTTTCTCAGTGAATGTCACAACTCGATTTCGATACCTATCTAGTTTTATGTCACATTATATAAAAGGCAAACAAAACGTTTCAAATACTGTCGGAAACGTATCTCAATTACATAATTTAAACATATTAAAAGGAGTTATCATCTAATTATATAAACATCGTCATTTTCTTTTTTTGACCTCGTGGTCTTGCGGCCAGTTTGAGCGTGGGATCGGACGCTATTTTCAATGTAAAAATACGCACTTTGGCGACTTATACTTCAATGTTTTATTCGTCTAATGACCACAAATTATTTAAATCTTTAACGTCTGAACGCACTTGATGTATTGTTCAATACGAGTGAAATGCTGAGCAATCCAAAATCGTTATGTTACAACCACAGGGGTCAGCAAAATTATTATGTTCTTCAAACGCGAATCGAAGGTCTTATGCCGACTTGGAGAGCTAATTTGCGCACAAAGGAATATTATACATCATACGTTTACAATAAGTGCATGATATGAACGCTGGAATCACAGTTTCTGACAAAAAGCTTCAAATTTTTGTCGTACAGATTGTGGTTTGCATTGGCATCTCATTTCATCGCCAGCTATTGCGACACGAAAAAATGTAACAGTGAATAACATAATAGTCAAAAACGACGAATAAATGAATGTAGGAAACAAAAAACCATTTGGTGGTCATATCTCAAACGGAAAATGTATTCGAGCAGAAGCCTTACGATATTTCGCCGATTTAAGACGCCCAAGGTTTTACGTGACGAAGCACTTTCGCTTTAAATGATGACTAAGCACATGTTGACTATCCCTTAAATTCGGCCGTAAATGGAGGCAATGAAAGGAAAAAATTATGGCTAGATTTGTTAGAAATTGGTGTGCTTATCGTTTTATTACAAAAAAAGGATCAAAACGTTACTCACCAGCGTAACAAAACAAATGGCAATGATAGCATCCTTCTTTGCGGTAGACACCCCACTCGATGTCAGATTTGCTGAGTCCGGGTGTGCAATGTTTAACAATCGCTCTCCCATTTTAGAGTCTAGTGTTTTACGAATGTCCTCGAAGAAGTAACAGATGCTAACAGAAATGAGTAGTTCACTCACAAAAGGCGTGCGCGCCACTCGTCGCCCTTCGCTGTATTGAGCAGTCCGCCTGTGTAGTGCGTATCTTCGAAATTTCTGTGCTTGTGGAAGGCAATCGATACAGATACAGCAGTAATAAACACTTGACAGGATTTTTGAAAAAAAAACTTAGTCTTTTAGAGCCTACACCCGAACTTCTAACTCAGATCTACTCTATCGAGACGATGCGATTTGAGACATTATTCGGGGATTCCCCATGCATGGGCACAAGCCTATTCCCAGACAACACGTACTTAATATCCATTGGTGTTAAGTGATGAAACTGACCCCATATCGTGGGAGGTTGTGGGTTGCGACTCAAATTACGCGCTTACTATGTCTGGACCAATCTATAAACTATTGTCCAAAATGATCATAACACACAGAGAGGGTCAAGTAATGCAAAATACGGGTGGTAGTACGCTCTACGTACTTATTTTAAGGGGGGATACATGAAAGGGTTCTTCGTTCGTTATTGCTTTGTTTTGTTCACTTTTAATGGGGCACAAGAGCAGTAGGCGCATAAGGCCGTCACATTGTCCGCGCAACCCCACCTATCGCGTGCCGATGCCTTGCACATTCCAGCTCTTCCACCCCGCCTTGCCTCTCTCTGACTTTCGACAGTCCTTATTCAAGTGGTCGTTGGTCTCCCTCTCGCCCTTCCACCTTCTGGTGTCCACCCCAATGCCGTAAAACGGTCTCTCTAGAGTACGTTTCCTAACCAGTTCCACCTTCTTCTTCGTACCTCGCGGCTGTTTTTATTAATCTCTGCCATTTCAACTACTCTCGTGTTTGTCATTATTTACTGCTATCTAATCCTCTGTATCCGTCTTAGGCACTGGCATTTAAAACTTTTCAGTTTACTTTCATTGGTCTTTATGATCTTACATGTTTCACAAACATATAGCAGGACCGGTCGGACTAAAGTCTTGAATAGGCGTCTCTTGGTTCTCCTTCCTATTCCTCTGGCTGTCCACACCTTCCATTGCCTCTGGAATGCACCTCGTACCTTCTACAGTCTGTTCCTCATATCTTTACTGCCTCCACCTTCCTAGTCTATAATAGCTCCAAGGTACGCAAACCCCTCTATATCTTCCACTTCTTCATCATTCACCACAATGTTCTCCCTATTCCTAACAAACTCACTCCTCAGTGTCTTTCTCTTTCTCGCATTAAGTTTAAGGCCTACTCTGGCTGCTTCCTCCCTCAATCTCCTATTCTTCTCTCGCAAGTCATTAAACGACGCTAGTCATTACGTGACTTGCATGACATGTGAATCTTTTTGCAAGATAAAGGAATCTGTGACCAACTTGAATGCCCTTCTCACGTTACGGTAAGTTCAGAATTATATCTCATCAAATACAATTATTAATGGCTACTAGCCTGAGGTGAAAGAAAAGGCAACGAAGCGTCCCATCTTACAAAAACTAAGGCCGTAATCTGAAATACTGCTTGCTTATGGCTCAAACTAAAGAAGATCTTATCAAGGGCCACCGCAGCCAGAAACAGTTCTATCGTTATCATAATTCTGTCGCATCTCAAGAGTGAATACCTCTTCTTTTCTCACGGTCACTTTGTCAGTTTAGCCGGGTATCCTTTTGAAAAATTATTTCGTTTGCAAGCAGTAAACTATCTGAAAGTGAAGTAAACTTTATCGAGTGAAATGCCACGTTTACCCATACCAGAGCAATTCATCACAGAAGTTAGTTAAAAGCATCACACCGTGAAAAGAACTTATCAAAGTCATTTTAATTTCAGTTGTAAACTAATAGCAATTGGTGAAATTATATTCCCAGTGAGTACGAGAATGTTCTACTTCACATTGTGGTGATATATCTGAACAAATGATATTTTAGAGGATTGAGGGGCAGCCTTAAGGAAATTAATACGAATTAATTTTAAGGACCAAAGCCCGTCAAAGAATCTTACGATGTCTTGTTTCTCGTATATATCACGCCATCTGTCGAATTGTACTATGTCCGACCATAATTTTCCGGACATCTCCCTTCCTTTTTTCCTTAATTGAAAGTGGAATGCGGGAATAAGAGAGCTGGTACAGAACCAAACAAAGGTTTGTAAACATGCCAAGCGCCGTAATTTACGTCATTATAATATAAGCAGTGGCGAAAATCCTAAAAGAGGAAACGAAATGGACTGTCCGAGTTTTGACGGTTTTCACGCTCAGTTAGGTTGCAAGCTTACGTGCGGTAATAAAAATCAAAGACAGCTATCACTCGTGTAGCATATATAGTTTCGTGTTCAAAAACAAGACAGAAAAAAACAGGAATCATGAAAAATATAGCCAAAATGGCATAGCTATTAAAATTCAAAATAATCATAACGGTGTCAGAGCGTTAAGTTAAGCTAAGCTGTTTGTTTTCTTCTTGTCATGTGAAAAAACTCGAGTGTTGTTATGAGCTTCAATTCGGCCGGATTTCACTAAACATTTCACTTTTAGATTCTGTTTGAGACTAAAAAAACTTCAGGCAAAAGAGATAAATTCGACCTGACGAACTCTTTCAGTTTGTAAACTATTGCAGATTGTGAACTTTGATGGCTTGACATTTTTGACAGCTTTAGTCTCGTTCAACCAATCAGATTATTTGAAACATTTTAACAAGGATTCTGATTGTCTTAGTGTAGCGTGTTTCATGAGAGTATGGAACATGCTGACGACGCTGTTGTTCGCTTTAGGAATAAAGTTTTTTTAAAAAAAATTGAAAGTAATGCGTGGGAATTTAACGGATTCTTTATTACAAAACAAATAGAGAACCTCGACTGGCTCTGTTATGTTGTAAAGCACTCAGGAAGCGGCTAGAACACTCAAGAAGTGGGGAGAAACACTCAACTACGTCGACTACGTCTCGTGTTTCTCCCTAAACTTCTTTCGTGCTCTAGCCGCTTCCTGCGTGCTTTACAACAGAACAGGGTGATCGTCTAAGGACAATAAAAAAAAATACATGGATTCGAGGATTTTTTGTTTCTTGCTTTTATTTTTAATTTGCTTGATAAATATGATAAATATTACGTCCAAATTTCCATTCGCTTTAATTGCTTGTACAAGAATTGAATCATTTGTAACTCATTTCAGAATTTCTAATATTCACCTGAATGTTTTAAGTACGTATATAATATGCAGCGCGATCGTGTCCATATCGTAAGGAAAAGTAAGCTTAACATCCAAGGCCGCTAACCTTGCAAATCTCTACGAAGAACGCAAATCCAGGCCACTTTTAATAATTTTTCATTATCCTAGGAAGTCTCGCAGTGTCTATAAATATGAATTTCCAACAGTTCAATAATGTCTTTCCTTTGTATTGTAGATTTTTGCAATACTTTGATAAACTCTAATACGGTTAGATTAGGCCTTTTAGCTTCCAGGCTTTCTAAAAGCTTTTCAGAAGGACTTCCTGACCTACACGAGTGAAGTTCCTTCTCAAATTCCCAAATGTCCTCTTCCTCAAACTTAAACTCTGACGCTACATCCTTGTAGTTGCCCTTCTTGGTGTTTTCCAGCTTTTTGTCCAGTCGTTTCCATACTTTTTCATATGTCTCTAGTGAACAAGACTTCAAATCTTTCATGCAAACGAGTACTGCAAAAAGAAAGGAAAGAAGGAGAGATTGAATAAGAACTTTAGCATTAGAAAAAGTTCATTCACTGTGCTATCCGTCTCGACAAATACTATTGGAATGAATATATCATGGGCTCCTGTCAAATATCGATAGCTATACTTAAAGGAAAGAAAAATCGCGCGCTTAGTCTGTTACTTCCAGGCTAATTATAATTCTAAGTAAAAACTAAATTTTTTTCTTAGCTAAATAAATTCTTAATGTAAGTACCAACCTCCAAGTGGGTCAACATTTGTCAGTGTTGTAATGTTATCCAATAAAACGCTTTCTGTGTGTTCATCGTGTTCAGCGTCCCTTGATCTGGAGAACGGTCGACAACGCACCCATTTAAAAAAGTTCGCTATCGTTTTTATCTTAACGATGCAAGCAACAAGACTCAAACTTGCCAAAATACCAATAACTGCCTTGATACTTCGACTAATTTCGTCACGGCTGTTGATTGAAACAGATATGGGTCTCTTCGTGTCAACGCTCAGAGTTGTTTTACTTTTGCCATGACCTTCATCGGAAGTCTTATTTCTTCGTCGCTGAAACGCAATTGACGTCTCGAAAAAAGAAGTGAATGCAGCACTTGCAATTACGGTATTGCTGCTAGCGAATGATCGATGTGTTGTCGATGAAGACCGTTGTGTCGTTTTGTCCGAAGATTTCAGTTTATTTGTTCTTCGCTCTGCTGTAGACTTTCGTTGTGGAGTCGTCGGGCTTGGAGTTAGTTTGATCATCATGTTTATCCTTTGACAGTCACTGTCTGTCTTTCTTAGTTTGCATCTTCTATGCCGTGGGAGTCCTTGAGCTTTACATTGGTCCTCAAATTCGTCTTTACCGTCCCCACAGCAGCCAGAGCACGGCTCGCAATCGTATATAAGACCGTCAACGACCTCTTTCTCGTAATAACCATGTTTACAAGAACCACAACGGCTGTTCTCAGTCCTAGAGCAGTTCCGAGTCACTGTGCGTCCGGCAGAGCATAAGGAACACGGTGTACACTGTTCTTTCCCATATGTATCTGAATAGGTTCCCTCCCTGCACGCAACACAGTGCAAGAGTGTTCCATTCTTGGCGACAGTTCCACAAGCAATTGATGGTTCCATTCCATCTGGACAATCAATACAAGGGGCGCATTTGTCTTTTTCTCCCGCTTTATTGCTTTGGTAGGTGATTTCACCATCTTGGCAGGCAGTGCAACTTCCTATGCGTACTTGAAGCTAAAAGAACCAAAAAAACGCGATAATAATAAATTGCTTAATCACCGACTATCCTAAAGCCGTTTGGCCTCGTTTTACAAATTGCTCCTCATTCTTTAGATAGACAGCAGCGTTCTCCAAGTAGTCATAAAAACAGCGAAGTTCTATCAGACTCCCTGCCAGGTAAGTTTTGCAGGAGGAAAAATATTTTGGATTCCATTTGGGTGATGTAAGACTCTATCATGAGATTCCTGTGTTATTCGTGAGTGTTCTAGAATATACGTCACAGGTGATGAAAAAGTCTGTAGCCTCCGCTGATGCCCTCGTCGCAATACGCTTAGATTGCA